ATTTATTTATTTATTTATTAGATTTATATACCGCCCATCTAGAACATGACTACTCTGGGCGGTTTACATATAACATAAAAATAAACTAAGGATCAATATGCCTGGATTTTAGACATGGCAGGAAAGGGCTATAAGGATGGTCATGCTGAGTGTCTGCATTTCAGAATCTGCCACCACACCGACGGCTCCCAAAAGTCAAAGGACTGACAGTTCAATGCAGCCAAGGTGACATCATCAAAAAGACACACATTCTGTCTTAATATTTACCCATTTTCCACATGTCATTTTGCCAGCATGTACTAGATATGCACATTTATGGGCCTTAAACTAGGTACAGATGTAACAGAGGAAGTGGAAGAATTATCTTACCTTTAGGAGCATGGCTAACATGGTGAGCAAAGAATCTACATAACCGTACATGTTGCCTTGAGAGTATAACAACGTGGACCGATGAAGAAGCAGTTTTAATTCCTGTACATTGAAACAGAAAGTTAAGTCATATAACGTTGCTGCTTAGATTTAACTCTGATTCTCAAACATTAACAGTCTGATGGTGATAGAATTTTAGAAGCAAGCCTAAAGGAGGTGGGAAAGAAAAGAAACTTGAGTCTATTTAATCCTATTGTCATAAAAAACTCAGAAATACTATAGCCTCTTCCAAATAGCTTTAAAGCCTATACAGAAAGAGCAATATTAATGGCAAAGCGTGGACTATCCATTAACTATTAGAGTCAAGAGTGTTTGTACTATTAAGCCAGACCTGCAGAGAATTCTGGCCTAATTTTCAGGCCAAATGCTCTTACACAGGGCCCAACTGCCCCTCCTTGTCTTCTACCATTTTAGGAATGGCTAAAATAACCAGAAATAAATAAAATAATAAATAAAATAATCCATTCTGAAGGAAATCAACCCTGAGTGCTCACTGGAAGGACAGATCCTGAAGCTGAGGCTCCAATACTTTAGCCATCTCATGAGAAGAGAAGACTCCCTGGAAAAGATCCTGATGTTGGGAAAGTTTGAAGGCAAGAGAAGGGGACGACAGAGGAAGAGATGGATGGACAGTGTCACTGAAGCGACCAACATGAATTTGACCCAACTCTGGGAGGCAGTGGAAGACAGGAGGGCCTCGCGTGCTCTGGTCCATGGGGTCACAAAGAGTCAGGCACAACTTAACGACTAAACAACACCAACAACAATAACCAGGAACTAATGAGAGAGCACATAATGTGTCATATTATGTCCAAAGCAGGTCTCCTGGTATGGTGCTCTCTTAACAAAATAGAAAAGAATGTGGGAAGAGCGTGAAAGTGGAGTGTTCCCCTCATTTTTGGCCTTTGCTCTTTGTGCTAGAGCAGCATGCAGCCCCAAGTAGACAACACACAAGGGAATGTAGCCTTCAATGGGGAATTTTTTTTAAATCTCTGGTCCTCTCCTAGGTCTGTTCCTCAAACAAGAATTCCATCCAGCATCTTAGCCCTTCCAATTGATAATTCCCCTAAGGGCTCCCTCACATTTCCAGTAGCACTAATCCACCCCCCCAAAAAAAACCCCAATTATCTCCAAACTTCACTCTGATTTCACGCCAGAGTTTGCGCTTCAAAGGGGTTGAGCTTACTTGCTGAGCTGCATTGGCATCCTGTGCCAGCGTATCTGGGTCATACATGGGTTCAAGGGCTTCCAGAGCTTTCTCAGGCCGGCCCAGCTGTTGCTGAAGGGTCGAGAGGGAGATCCGTGCGTCCAGGTGCAAAGGGGCAAGGTCAACAACTCTAGCGTAGCTCTCAGCCGCACGCTCAATGTAGCCTAAGGCTTTCAAGCACTCTAAGGGGGAAAAAGAGAAAGCAGTCTGGTCCTCTCCTTCTGAAAAGGTAATTTTGGGCACAATAGCATCCCACACCTCTCCAAATACAGACAACTCATGTACTCCACCCAAGCAGTAGCTAATGGCACCCTCTTTCTTGTGAGGTGTGAATTCTGGGAAAATGTCCTGAGCGTAATATCCATTCACCAGGAGCCACTTTAAAGGCACTTCCTCAATGCCTGCCAGTGAGACTGGTTAGGCTGGTGTCTATTTTTGGGCACAATAGCATCCCACACCTCTCCAAATACAGACAACTCATGTACTCCACCCAAGCAGTAGCTAATGGCACCCTCTTTCTTGTGAGGTGTGAATTCTGGGAAAATGTCCTGAGCGTAATATCCATTCACCAGGAGCCACTTTAAAGGCACTTCCTCAATGCCTGCCAGTGAGACTGGTTAGGCTGGTGTCTATGCAAGACAGAGCCAACTATAACCTTTGAATTGCAGAGCTGGAAGGGACCCTATGGATCATCGAGTCTAGCCCCTCTCAAGGAGGCCCAGTGGGGAACTGAACTCCCAACCTCTGGCTCCAGAGACCTAATCCACTGAGCTATCCAGCAGTTCAAACCAATTTCGAACTGGTTTGTCCCTTGTCTCTTTAATATAGCTCTTTTGGAGGGCTCTTCACTTTGCTTTAACCAATGGCATAAATTGCTTGCATCTCAGAGTAAGTCTCTCTAAGTCACTGTGGAGGGCTCTTCACTTTGCTTTAACCAATTGCTTGCATCTCAGAGTAGGTCTCTCTAAGTCACTGGTTCACAGTCTTAGGTAACCCAGATGTTCTTGGACTGCAACTCCCAGAAACCCTGGCCAGCACAGTTGGTGGTGAAGGCTTCTGGGAATTGAAGTCCATGAACACCTGGCTTACTCAAGGTTGGGAACCACTGCTCTAAGCCATCTGTAGGCTTGATACAGCCACTGGATCGTTGCTTCTTACCTCTTAAACTTTCTGGAATGCTAGTTTGGGAGACTGTAGCCCTAAAAAAAGGCGCTTAAACATTGCTTAAGTAATTACTTCCTAAGCTGAGCCATTTCATACTCAATCAGCACCACCTTCCAGTGCTAAAATCCCCATGAATGGAGAAGGCAATTTGGCCACAGCAGTGAACAGGTTCCTCACCTCCTGCTCAGACTGTTGTAACATACTTTACATGACACCGTCCTCAAAAAGCATTAGAAAATGACAATTGGAGCAAAAACGTGGCAGCCAGAATTCTGATTGGTAGGCATCTTCCAGATGGCATCGCCCCTGACTTGGCTTGTTTCAGAGCCCAGTTCAAGATCCCGTTTTTTATCCCTAAAGGCTCAGGTATCTTCCACCCATATGGACCTGACTAGAGCTTATGCCCGCCTGATGCCCTATTCCTTGTCCCACTTCCTGGAAAGGTGAGGTTGGCAGAGGGCAAAGCCTGGCGAGGAAGCCATTCGTGCAGAGCAGCCTGCCTGTGGCCTTCCCTTCCCAGGAGATGAGGTAGGTGGTCACACTCTTGGCCTTTACACAGCTAATAAAAACTGCACAGTTCCCCTGAACGTTTCCAGGGTGGCTTTCTTCATTTTCGAAGGGCTCCCTATTTTACTATAATGCTAAACATTTAATTGGTTTTGTTTTAGCTTTTCACAAAGCTGTTGCATTTTACTGTGCTGATAGTTCTATTGTTAACTGGCTCAAGCACTCACTGAGTGAAGACGTGATTCAGAAAAATATGAAATAAATGATAGATTCATGTCTATATAGCATTTCTCTAAAGCACCAAGGAAGCTCTCCAAAAGCTTTGGGGACTTCTGTTACACTTGAAGGTGAGGTGGGAGCACTTAAGTTAGGATACACTTCACGCTCTCCAATGAATGTGTGGCTGAGATGAAACTTGAATCTGGACCTCTTGGCTTGTTCCTAATCACTGCACACATTTTTGCACAAGAATACATTTTGATTAATATTACTGTAATTGTAGTCAAGAATACATTTTGATTAATATAGTAGTCGAAATGACTAGATAGGTGGGGTATAAACAAACAAACAAACAAATAAATAAATAAAGTAGGTTACACCTTGAGCAGTAACACTAGAACAGCACAGTCAACCAATCTAGGACTGCATTTATAGATTAACTGGGCTTTATAAAGCTTTTAAAGGTTTTGTATTGTTTTTATATTTGTTTTTTTAATCTTAATGCATGTTTAATTGCTTTTCAATGTGATATCTATATAATGTTTTTAAATGTGTTGTTTGAGCTGATGTGAGCCACCTCGGGTCCCCTTATGGAGAGAAAGGCACCATATAAATAATTTAAATAAATCAATCAAAATAAAATATACGGACATCTCAGGAGTAAGCCCTATGTGATTTTCATGTTTTTGGTTTCATTTCCATTTTTTTTAAAGGACACAACTTGCTGAGAAACACTCCAAAGAAATATTTCTTAATTGTGACCATTATATGCAGCCGTTAAAAGCCAGAGTTGCCAATATAAAAGCCAGAGTTGTTCACATAAAACACTTCTGAGCACCACTTTATACGTCAGTGCTGCGTCTGATGCTGGGATACCCTCAATGAAGGCAATGAGGGCTCAGCACAACAATCTGCACCCTTTTGGGCCTAGCAAAGCTGCTGTTTTAATATGAGAATGGCTGGGAGGTGGCATGAAGCTCCCAGACCCTCCCATTTCAGGCAATATGCAATTATTCCTCAGAAGCACTCAAAGTTCTATCTTAACATGTGATTTGGAAACAACAGGAAATGCTTTTAAGGGGACGTGGTGGCGCTGTAGGCTAAACCGCAGAAGCCTGTGCTGCTGCAGGGTCAGAAGACAGTGAGCTCCCGTCGCCTGTCCCACTTTATACGTCAGTGCTGCGTCTGATGCTGGGATACCCTCAATGAAGGCAATGAGGGCTCAGCACAACAATCTGCACCCTTTGGGGTCTAGCAAAGCTGCTGTTTTAATATGAGAATGGCTGGGAGGTGGCATGAAGCTCCCAGACCCTCCCATTTCAGGCAATATGCAATTATTCCTCAGAAGCACTCAAAGTTCTATCTTATCATGTGATTTGGAAACAACAGGAAATGCTGTTAAATACATTGGCCTGACTGGCCATGTGACCACGGAAAGATTGTCTTCGGACAAAAAAACGCTGGCTCTATGGCTTGGAAACGGGGATGAGCACCGTCCCCTAGAGGCGAACACGAATGGACAAAAATTGTCAAGGGGAACCTTTACCTTTACCGTTTTACATTGGCCTAGGCCCAGACATAGACACCCACCCACACCCAGCAATCGTAAACAGTGGTGGTTCAGCCTGATCTTCTCCAACGGAACTATTCAAACGAGAAAGAAGTCTAGACCTAAACCACAGGTTTCGGTTCTTTTTCCCCCCGACTGATCCAGGAACCCTGCGGTGAACTCTGTGCAAATCAACCTGCCACTGCAGTCACCTTTAAAGGCCACTGGCACTGGGCTCCAAAGTCCAACGTTTTCTGCAGCACCCTCCTAGGCATGTCTACTCAAAGAGTAAGCCCCAATGAACTCAGGAGGATTTGTTCCCGGAAAAGCACAAATAGGTTGGCCACCCTGGGTGAGTCAATGGAACACATTCTACCAAGCCAAAAGCATTCTGAACAGGAGCGTTACCTGCGTGGCGGAGCCATACAACAGCCAGGTTGTATCTTTCTGAGCACACCAGGGAACTCAGGAGAGGAAGTGCAGAACTGTATTCTCCAACATCAAGAAAGGCTTCTGCAACATCAAGGTACAGATCGCCCATATCCTCAGGGTTTTGCTCCACTAGTGTGGTCAACAGGAACTTGGGGGAAAAAACAGTACCAACATGAAGCACATACATAGAGAAAAGCACTCGGAAATTTAGGGGGCAGGATCTTTTCCTGAACATACCCAAAATCAGTTACGTTAATTCCTGATGGATTTTAAAACTGGGATGTGCTTTGCAACAATCAAGTCAACACACCCCTCTAGAAATGGTTTTACAAACTGAAAGCAGGTACTGTATATTGTAAACACAAAAGGAAAGCCCATTTCAAGGTAAAGAATCTAACTCGTAGATAGAAATGTACAAAATGTAAAACATTTTAATTTGTGCCTCTGGAGCAAAACTGCCTTATCAAGAGAGTCTTGAAGGAAAGAATGGGAAATTCTGGTTTTGAGCGCAATCAGACGGCAAGAACAGGGGATGTTTGATTCCACCGCAAAGGGACACTTTTCAGGGAATGATCTCCTTTTGAAAGAGACACTTCCCTCGGTTAGGAAATCACTCCAGCTTGGCCCAAACAAGGAGAAGCCCTACAGCTGGACCAAAAAGGTCTATTTTGGGTAGGGATTGGCGTTGGGCAGTTCCCCATACATCATGCAGCATTGCTGGGAAACAGATGGCACCAAACTGCTCGGCAATCAGTCCAAAATGCAACCTAACTCTTTGTGTGATTCCCACCCTCCCTCTTTTTCACTTGACCTTTCTAACGATTGCATTTCCTTTGCTTACAGCTACTCTTGTGAACATGTGAAGGGATCTCAAATGGGTTTTCTTGAGTTTACAATACTTTGGAGGACACCAGTTTTGTGGATTTCACACACACACCCCATAACCAGGACCCTGGATTCTGCTGAACCTCACTCACTCGTAATGACAAAAGAAAGATGCATTTGGCTCATATTTTATTATCTGTCTAACTCCCCTTTCTTAGGCCTAATATACAAACTAGAAGGCACTTAATCCTTTACTCTTCCCTGAGTTTCCCGATGCAATTCTCTGTGTTTTGCTTTTAAGCATGAAAGGGAAAACCACCTGGCAGACATTATATTCAACAAAAGGTGGAGGAGTGTAGAAAGTGAATACAAGTTTTTGTACATATAAAAATCTAACATAAATATGCACATAAAAACTCTTATAAAGTTCCATCAGCTTAAAAAAAGATTGGGAAGTAATTAAAAAATTGACTTCAATAAATTTCTGCTTCAAATATATTTGAATGATATAATAAACTGACCCACCCTCACTAGATTGTTTTTTTTTAAATTGAAAATGCACGCGTGAGAACTTCTGCTGTAGTCTTTTTCAAACATATCTATAGCAATCCCTCCAAAAGACAATGGGGCACGAGACGTAGGGATTGAAAGGCAGTGAAAAAAAACAAGCACTGGCTTCATTTCTGTGGCTCAGACTTGCACAGGTAGAACTTGGAATGCACCAGACAAAGCAAAACATTCCAGATGCAAGATTGCCAGATGGGCTCAGAATCTCTTCATGCCTTCTAAAACTACCTGATGGTCCCATTGAAATGCATGGAAAACCATTCAAAGCGTTCCAATGGGCTAAAAACTCACCATCCAGTGAAGATCCTCCATACGGCAGCCATTTTTGGTGCCTGTATAGCGAGGAATCAGTCCCAAAGCACAGTGGGGAGCCATTTTAAGCACCTGGTGGCCATTTCGGAAAACCCAACAATCAGCTGTTTTTGATAGTGGTAAAGCGAAAACCAGTTCCCAAAGCAGGGAACCGATCATCACTAAGTGAAATTCCCCCATGTAGACCATCATTTTGCGATTGCAATTGTGATCGCAAAAACATTGTCGTAAAGTGGATTCATCATAATGCGGGATAATCGTTAAGCGGGGTACGACTGTATTGTTACTGTGCTTGGCCAAGAGCTGACCTTCAACTTGATAAAACCAGTTTCATGAGCCAAACAGGATGTTTGAACACTTACAAAAAAAATAAAAGAAACTGCTACCTTGCAACACCAATAGCAAAATGCAGGCTAAACTGGGTTGACTTTTGAAAGCAGTCTGTGATGAGGCAAGACGACGAACTTTTACAGATAAAGGGAGAAACTCTTTTGCAGGGTGAGAGTATGAGCCGAAGCTCCTCTCTGGATCCTAGGCCATGTTTTTAAGAGGATCAGCCTGCTGCCAAAACCACTGCTGGGGTTATTATTGCCTGGGATATAAATTGAATCCAATTGAGTCTCTCTATTTTTTTGCTTATCAAGTCTTGTACTTACATTGAGTGGCTCCAAGATGTTCAGGTGAACCAAGCATACCATGAGTTTCACCGTGATGTCAATGGGAACGCCCTCGGGGATGCAGCAGGTGACTTTTTCTGAAGCTGGACAAGGGAGACGATTTTCAATTTTTCTCACCAGCAGGACCCCCCAACTCCAGGTGGCCTTCTCCTGTGCCGGGTCCTAACCATCAAGTCAAGCTATTTCCCAGGATATTCCAGACTACCCCCCCACTCTTTCACCTTCCCCGCCTTCTCTTCTCTTTGCTCCTCCACCAGCCAACATTCCCGGCCAACAGAGCAGACCCCATTGCTATGTTTTAGGAAGATTCCTTAATTCTGTTCTCTCTAACATTTTCTTTCATTTCTTCAAATCTCACTGCTCCCCCAGAGATGTTAATACCTCCCTCTTCATCGGATGTGCTGCTACAGCTACAAAATGTTAAGCATGAGTTTACTATTTGTATACATTATACCATTACCGCTATGGTTGTTCATACACCATTGTTTCCATCACACACGTTCTTGCTAATTTCAGCTTCTCTGCACTTTAATTTTTCTCCCCATTTTCTGCTTTTACTACAATCAAACAGGGTTTAAGAGGCCTCTTCAGTAGAAGGAATAAAGTGGCCTTACAGTGTTTCCTTGCTTTTCCCCAACCTTCCCTATTATTTCCATTCTTTTGATAGTTACGGGGATTCTGTGATCTAAGGCCTAAATATGGACTGCACAGTTTCTTTGTATTTGTTCTGTGAGTGTGATCGTATGTGTTTGTGTGTGTCTTTTGGTAAAGGCCTTTTTATTCAGACAAGGCTTGGTTTTAATTGAAGGAGGCACTTATTCCCTCAACATCCCACATCTGTTTGTACTTCAGCTTGCTTTCATGATGCAATTTAATTTTTTAATATCACAGCTGTTAAAATAAAACTCAGTTCACTTTGAGCCAGGACGGGGATTATGAAATTATCAGCAGGGAAAAAAAGTTATTTGCTTGTGCTTTATTGGTATCATTTTTTGGCTCTCCCTGTAAAACTCAAGCAGCAGGCAGAAAGAGCTGCCTTTCCCCACCACTTTTTAACAAGAACATAAAATAAACCACATTTGTTACTGCTGAGGGGAAAAGTAGGTAGTACCCCAACGATGAATGAAGGGCAAAACTTTTGTACTAAACGATACCATATACAAGTTTGCCTTCTTCCTACTGAAATAAACTAGGATTCAATGCAACATCTGATCAACCTTAAACAAATGATCTAGCTGAAAGATAAAATCCTACACATCAGAGAATAGGGAGGGCTTGTACTTTCTCATTAATTACAGGGATCATGCAGCACACACTTTCAGACTCTATATCTAGAGGACCATGCTCAGTTTTATCTGCAAGCAATATTCTGCTTCTTGGAAAGACCTCTGATCTACTTTACAAAGAGTAAGTTGCTCACATGCAGAACTGGTTCCTGGCGCAGGATCTTGCTGATCGATTGTTGCTTCTTTACTCTCCTGCTCTTCCATGCTCTCTTTCATCAAGGCAAAGAGAGACAGAGAGAAGAAAGTGAAAAATACACATGCCTTTATGGAATATTCTTTGTCAAACCTAGAATTACTTATTATTCTATTATGTTTTAATTAGCAGCTCTGGTGCGACACAAAACAGTGCTGGAACTTTTATCAGTGCAAATCAAATCAAACAGGAAAATACTATATGTCCAACCAGATGAGCATCTAGTGTCTAGGTCAGTAAAATAACGTGACACACTAATTCATTTTATGATTTTGCTTCTGGAGCATATGACAAAAGATTAGAATCCAGCTGAAAAGTATTAACTGTAGACAGGCAAGCAGGCAGGCAGGCAGGAGAAACAAGCCAAATCTCTAGAAATAGTTGGAATCCTGTTTCTCAGGCAATAAGTAGTTTGGCCTGCAAGGGTAGGACAAGATACATGGCGTTAAGAAGGCCAATAGAGTTCATTCTCCGGCCTGGGGTCATCCACGTAAGCTGGGAGACGCATGTGAGAGAAAAGGACGTGCCCCTTCACCCAGGGCATGGTCAAACTGTGGAACTCACTGCTACAAGTCGTAAGGTGAGTCAGCAATTTGGAGAGATTTAAAAGGAGATTAGACAAACTAATGGAAGATAAAGCTCCTAATCACAATGGCCGCATACTTCCTCCAGCATCAAAGTATGCTTAGGTTTACCAGCAGTGGAAGAAAAGAAACAGGAGGTTGTGACTATGTTTGTTTCCCCATGGCAGGCTTCTAACAAGCAAGGGGTTGGTGGAACTACATAGGGAATCCTTTGGTTTGATCCCAACAAGGCTTTATTTATGTCCTGCCAAACCTCTTCTGCAACGTCACAAGGCCAATTATAAGGGAGTCCTAGCAACTGAAGGACACCATGCCAGAGGAACAGCCCATCGTGGGGACCTACACACATACAACCCAGTTAGTTTTCTGCAACTGCCATGAAAGCTTTGCAGATGTCACTGCTTTACATGTACGTCTCTCTAGAACATTAACATTTCAAATTAAAATTCCCTTTTTTGTTCACTTTTTCTGAAAAGATTGTGCCATCTGGCAAAGAAGAATAAGCAGCCAGAATCATCTTTGGTAATTTTCGTCTCTTATTGGGTCTCTTGCACCAGGTACAGGATGACAAATCCGTTGCCACATGGTTCAACTTTCTTCAAGGACATTTTTGAGAACAAGGCAAATGTGAACAGACACGAAGGCAAGGAGAATTTAATGGTGTGCCTTCAAGGAGGACCAGAACACATCAGAAGATGACACCCCACTGAGAGAGAACTCTTAATACGGCTGCACTTGAAACTTCCCGTACCTTTATTCTCTGCTGAGGTATCTTCTTTCATGTCTTTCTTCTCAAGTACAATGCCTGAAAAATCTGTAATAACCTAAAAATAGAAACAATTTTTGACATAAGAAAATGAAGCCTGTGTAAAAGAACATGGGGGTGGAGAGGGGGAACCCATCTAACTGACATTACTAAGTAAACTAATGATTCAAAGGAGTGAATGAGGCTGTTTCATCACAAGACTATACAAGCTCTTAGTAGATGTGGTAGATTGGACTTTGAAAATGCCACGTCAAGAAAGTTTCAGGGTGAATGTCAGATGCCTGCTTGCCATCCCCACAGTCTCCTCCCCTCAACCGAATCTTAGAAGCAACACACAGCTGAATAGAGAACTCTGCCCTGCACTTCCCTGAATGTCCCAGTTTTCACTCTTTGATAGTGAAGCCAAGCTCAAAAGCTCTAAAAGGACCACATTTCTGGATTTCAGTCGAAAATATTGTGTTCACCTCAGAGTAGCCATGCCACAAGGCCCTGCCCCCCACAAAAATAAGCATTCTAGGAAACCACATTGTCAATTCCACAACCCTCAACCCAGAAGGCTGTTAAAGCTGAAGGATCATTAGCAAGTGCCGCCACAGCTGTTTCTTCAGCCCGTATTTCTCAAGTGCCAAGGGTTACAAGTACTGTAGTGGACTACAAGTCCCATAATCACCACCCACCCGGGGCCATAATCAGGGATAATGGGAGATCTGCAGACTCAAAACTGGAAAAAGTCAACTTAGTCTTTTGTTGACTAAGTTGACTTTTTCCAGTCAACTTAGTCAACAGTCAAGATGGTATAGGAGATGCCATTTGAAATGGGCTTAGTTTGGCCACATTATCTTTTCAGTTTATAGGTCTTGACAGCATCTTGGATAGGGAATGTAATGACAGGTAGATACACTCACACAGAGTCATTTAGAATGCAAAACAGCTTGCCCTTATACAGGAGATCAATTTAATGCGCTTACTGCCAATGCTTTATCATACTGCTTGTTAGAAATATACAGCTCAGCAGCTATATTAACATCTTCCATGGATACCAGATTCTGGTGTTTACTAAAGGCTTCCTCTATGATCTCAATAGCAGCAGTGATATCATTGGCTTCGTAGTAACTCCTATGGAAAACATAGGGAACAAAAGTAAATACAGGCAGATCAATCGTTCTGAACAGAAAAGATAAGGAATACATCTCAGCATTCCCCAGGGAAAAGGGAAATTATATGCACTATTGAGAAAGGAAGTTCCCTAGCGTGGGTTCATATCAAATGCATGAATATCATATTACTTTTGTGAAATTAACCCTGACAGTAGGGTGTGATGATCTAGGTCATAACATATTTGGACATTACACACAACCATTGCCAAAATCCTCTTGTGTAAAGTTGCGCCATGCAATCTGATGACATAATCAACCATGGATTTTTATCCATCATTAGGAATTTTCTGTTCAACCCCACCACCACCCCAGCCAGGGTTTCAAGGCTCCCTTGGGATCCCTTTTTTGCCCTGTGGAAACCTTGGGGAGCCTTGGGACGATGGTGGAGGCTTTAATGCCTGAAAGCCACCACCAACTGTCCTGATCCTGGCAGTACAGATTTTTGGAGCATTACAGGCTCCCTCCAGCCCCCCGCCCCCCATCTCAACGACATTCACGAGTCAAAAGGAATCCCAAGGGAGCCTCAAAACCTGGGGGAGGGGATGTAACAGAAAAATTTTTGTATGGAGACCATGACCCTCAGGATGCTGAAGATGAACTAACCCAGCCTCACTTCAGGGCCTGGCTTTGCTTCTGCTTCTCCACGGCTTGAAGAGTTGTCTGAACCTGGAACTTCCTGGAAGTTCACCTTCATGTGATGAGTATAGAAGATTAATCAATTTAATTTAAACTGGACTTCATCAAGCTGGTGCCTTCTCCAGGCCCACTGGACCACCAGTCTGCATGACCAAAAGGTAAAGGGAATGGGCTCAAACATGTAAAGGCCACCAGGCTGGAGAAGAGTAAATGTCTAGTAAACCACTAGAAGATTGTAAGGTGTGATCCAAAGTTGCTTCTTATGAAACAAACTCTAGTGAAAATCAAAAACAGGTTGCAGGATTGAGACATTAAAGTATAGCTTATCTAAACACTGGCATTGAAACTTCTGAACTCTTCCTTGCAATCATATCGAGGAAGAAAGGGGACGAAAGGATGGGAGAGGCCCTCTGGTGTCTCATCAAAACAGGCCTCGGGCGCACCCACCACCCTGCCAGGCTCCCTGCTGCCTTCAGTTTCAGTTGATGATTCGAAATTTCCCTGCCCCTTTCCCGCAGTGGAAAAAAACCTTTCAAAAAGCCTTCATTAGGACTAATGAAGATAATTAAAAGTCCAAATGCATGCGATGGTGATGTAGAGACATTTTGTGTAGCTTGTCTAATTTTCTCTTGAATGCCTTCAACGTTGGAGTGCTTACCACCTCCCAATATATACCTATATTGCATCCTCACCACAAGTAGTAAAGGTTTCAAAAGTAAGCATTACTGTGGATTATCGAAAACTGCTTTCACTACTGAGGTACACAATATGTTGTTTGACTAATCTGTGGACATTAACAAAACTAGTGACGTTGTAACTGAGACCCATGACACAGTGGTTAAACTGCAGTACTGCAATCAACCCTCTGCTCATAACCTAAATTCAATCCCAATGGGTTCAGGTAGCAGGGTCAAGGTCGACTCAGCCTTTCATCCTTCCAGTGTTGGTAAAATGAGTATCCAGATTGCTGATGGGCAACTTGTTGTTTGCATAATTATGTTGTAAACCACCCAGAGAGTGGTCTAGCACTATGGTGTGGTATATAAAGCAAACAACAACAACAACAACAACAGAAAAGGTATCCACTCTCCCCAACACTGCTCCTGTTCTGCAAGGAAGGTTTAATAGACACTTTAGGCACCAATGGCATTATTGCATCAGGAGAGGGGTGGCTGACATGGATGCATGAGACTTGAATGACCTCTGGGCTATCACTTCTGGGGGGCCACAGAGATCTGGCCCCACCCACTCTAGCATGGTGTCCAGGGCAGCCACACGGGTCCCTCATGTGAGAAACAGATCTTTTGCATGGATCCAACCCAAGTCTTCCTAAGGTCTTATCTCAGTCTCACAAACTGGCACGATGCTTTTTGCCTCTGCCAGCAATCTAAAAGCACAGTTAGCATCAAGGCAACATGTTTTATCCGTTGCACAGACAGAGTTGTTGTGAGCCTAATGTAACACTGGTGGCAAGAAAGACTCAAGCTTTGGAATGTTACTTTTTTACTTTAGCACTCTCAGGTGCAACTACTTACTTGGCCATGTCTCGAGCCAAATGCATAAAGCGGTCTCCATCAAAAGGAGTCAGGAGATTTAAGATGCGCCTGTAGCCATCCATTGCCAGTTTATGCTCCCCCAGCTGTTCATACAGGCTCGACCTTTCCCACAAGTAACGTACATTAGTAGGATCATACTTCAGAGCTGTGAAATACAAAAGAGGCATTTTAATGTTTAACAATGTGCTAATAACAAGTAAGGAGGATATGATGGCAATAAATACAGAAAAACTCTTCCAAGTTTTACAAAGGAAATGAGAAAAGGCAATGAAACCAGGTTTCTGGAAGCCTAAGGAAACTACTATTGTGTCACACTTAGATAGAAACACCCATTTGCAGAAGGAGCATACCTTTGAGTATCAAATAGTAAAAGCAAAATTTAAAAAGAAAATCAGACAAATGGGAAGATCCGTTATTTTTATATTTTTAGTGGCTTCACAAAGTCATGTTGCTGATTGGCACTGGAAAGAGAAGACTGGACTAAATGGGGGGAAATGGTTTGCTCTTATCGACAAGACAATTCCTATATTCTAAAGCATCGTATATAAGGAGGTATGCATATCTGCTTCTCTGCATCTTTTCCCACAGAACTCCACATTTAGGGGATTTAAAGAGAATGCTCACAGCTGAATGTCGATTTACCAAAATAAAGACAAGGCTCCAGTTTCTAATGCATGCAAGTGGGCTGCAAGAAGCAGGTTTTCCTGCACTTTCTTCCCCACAAGACTCTCAAAGGCTTCACAGAGAGATGAGGAACCCTGATGAATATGGTAACAGTGAGATGGCAAAAGGGGAAGAATCCTGAAAATGAAATAGAGGCACCTCACATAATTAGAGCCCTTCCACCCACAGAAAGGAGTTCCTGGATTTCAACCTTACATTTTCCATACTACCCTGTAGTTATTATCAGCATTTCCTTCCATACACAGAGCTGGTATCATGGTCATTTTACCATGTTGTTGTAAAAAAACGCTAAGAAGAACAAGCAGCCTGTTTTGTCATTGTCATCAATCTTTATTATGATCACAGAGAGCTTGTTCTATATTAGCTGAACGGATCTACGTTTAAAGGCCGTCTGCACGGAAAACACAACACAATCTCAAGCAGACAACAGTATCATGGCTTAATAAGCTGAGATACAAGCAAGCCTTTTTAGCCACATTTGCTCTCCCTCCATAGCGTGCTTTGATAATCCTAAAAGCCTCCAAATAACCAGTGTGCCCCAATTCATCCGATATAGGAAAGGACGGTTTCCACCTTTGGAACACACCAGTCTCTTATACACTGAAATCAAGTCATATGTTGGAACTGGAGCAGGCCAACTGGATTAGTGGGGCTTTGGCAACACCTATGTAGGTTCCATTGATTTAATAGGCTTATTCTTGTTTTGACTTACCACTGAAATTGCTTGAAAATCCCAGCTTCCTCCCTAAGCATAGTTAAGATGTTTTTCTGCCTTATTTAAGATGTGATGCAAAGGGAAAGAGCATTTGTTCCTGCATGCTCATATATGGGGGAGAGGAGGGGGAGGGAGAGGTTGCACAATATGAAGCTTATAATGTTGTGATAGTGCCATCCAACACAGGCCAATGTAATTAGGTTCAACAATCTAATAATATAATAACATGCAATAATAATTTTAAAAGATCAAGTGGTATGTTGTGAAAAGCCATCCATCAATACTGTTCCAGTACATAAGAGCACTACATTCATTCATTTTACCTTTAGCATAGCAGAAGATAGCCTGTTTAATATTGTCCTGTTCAAGAGACATCTCAGCGAGCCTCACCCACTCCTCAGTGTCACTGGGATTTAAATGTGCAGCAATCAGTTCGAATTGCAGAGATTTCTCCATATCTCCTTGGTCTTCATAAATCATGGCAAGAGTTGAGAATGGCTCATAAGCAAGTGGAGCTAGACAAAAGAACAGCAAGAACATATTGCCATTACCTTTTTTATACTCAAGTACGCATAAGTAGAACTAATAATGATATTTCACCATGTTTTAAGATGGTAACAAAATGCCACCTCATTTCTGGGTACAGTTTCACAAGCTGGTATTGTGTTGTGTTTTGGTTGTGTCTGGGGTTAAGAATAATGGGAACTGTAATAGCAAAAGCTGGCCGAAATGCTGTGGTCAAACTCATCTATAGGCTTCTATATAAACCGAGCCAGTTATTAAGGCTTCCATTTATCATATACCGTAGCAGTGCCAGCCCAAGGTGTTTTGCTGCCTGAGAGGAAGGAGAAAAGAGATTGTTCTCTGTGGCCACCCCATGTATGGAAGGCAAATGGACTAGCATTTGAATTTTCAAGAGCAGCAACATGATAGCATTCTGTGTTATATGTGAGAGCAGCAAGCTCTCTTAGCAGGCCCAATACAATCAACGGGGCTTGTAAATGGTGGGGAAGCTGAAGTGAAATGGCTGCAGGGCGGCCACGGCTGCCCCATGCACACCATAGCATCTGCCACCCGAGACAGCCCTATACAAACAGAGATGCTGAAACACAACTTCTTTTCCCAGCAGTTGATTTACAGCCCAACAGGGACATGTCCAACTCCCTCCACATGCCTCCAATATATTTGTCCCGCCCAGGTTGCTTCACATTCACACAGCAGATACCTTGCCTTATGATTTCCATGCACATCAGGATGGCTTCCTCGTGTTCACCGCGGGCAAACCGAATGTTAGCTTCACCCATAAGGCCTCGTAAGGCCCGAGGCAGCTTACTGCGTGGACGTTTTTCCTAGAGAACGGATGCAATTGTATTTTATTTGAATACAGTTATTTTACAACAAGGAGGAGAACCTCAAGCCAGCAGGACTGATCTAACAATTCCCCCACCCTCTAAAGCTTGGCTTAGGTAACTTTTTTGACCTTTTAGCTAATCTAAAAAAACTCTCTAATACAAGTCTATAGTCAAGTTCAGAAACATAAAGAAATTGGGCTCAGAAGAGATAGGAAACATCACTTAGCATCTCCAAAGGGAAACTCAACTCGGGCCCTGTGATCCCAAAAGAAGCTCCAGCCCCATGTGACAACTAGTGCAAGGTATAGGCAAGAAGGACCAGGGTAAGCACCTCAAAAGGACTGTCTCTTTTAACATGATACTAAACAACTCATTTCTCCATTATTCTCTAGCAACAGCAAGAGACTTTGAGGGTCCTGAAACTTTGACATACTTGCCTTCATCATTTTCTTGGTCTCTCTATTAAGCACCATCTCCAAAGCAAACACATCGCCTGCCGTAGGCTGCTCAGAGGACTCTTCTTCCTCTTCCTCTTCTTCCTCCTCCTCCTCTTCTTCATTCTCTCCCATCATGGAGGCAAACACCCGATGGACAGACTTGCTGACCCCATCTGATGTTTCCTCTGGTTAGAGAGAAAAGTTTACAAGGTGGTCTAACTAACCAACGCAGTCATCCTAGAACCTGAAAAACAGCTTTGCCAGCCTCTCTCATGTTTCTCTCTCCCCACTATTTTAAGGACATTACTTCTGTGTTACTTAAAATATGATGTGACAGTCAAGGTTGAAGACCTGAACATTCCAAGGAACAAACAATGCAATAACATTCTCCCCCCCCCCCCACAAGAAGGAAGACCATGAAAGTGGGAAGGAGGTGACCTGGCCTCCTTCCCATAAGCAGTGTAACAACAGCCATTGAATGGCCCAGCTCAGCTCCGGTGAAAATGTGGCACTACGGAGGTCCTCCTGGAGGAAAGAGAAAATGAGGCTGGCCCCGAAAAACCTGGTGTCGAACCCTCAAGGAAGGTCTCAAAACCATTGATGTTTCTTGGGATGATGCTGAAAATGTTTATTTATTTATTTTATTTATTATTCTATTTCTACTCCATTCCTCTAGACAGAGTCTACTCAGGGCGTCTTACAAGCAGTTATAAAACATCATTAAAAATAGTCATCATAAAACAATCGCATAATTAAATCAACAAATTTTAAAATTCAAGATGGGGAAAAAGGAAAAGTAAAGAGAAAAAATCAAGTGTTGGCTGGAGGGAAGGCCTTCCTAAAGAGCCAAGTCTTTAACTGACTCTTAAAAACACCCAACGAGGGTGCCAGGGTGATTTCCGATGGCAAGGTGTTCCATAGTCGACAGGCCATTGCTGAAAAGGCCCGGTTTCTTCTTCTTTCTTTCCGGGCCTCTCTCGGTGTTAGGCCCCTCAGCCGTCTTTCCTGGCTAAAACAAGCGACTCGGGTAGATCTAGGTGGGAGAAGGCGTTCCGCCATGTATCGAGGTCCTAAACCGTTTAGGGCTTTATAAGTCAGCATTAACACTTTGAAGTGGATGTGGAAATGAATGGGAAGCCAATGCAAGGCGGCCAGGGTGGGAGAGATGTGCTGGCATTTTCTCGTCCCAGTGAGAAGTCTGGCCGCCGCATTTTGCACCATTTGAAGTTTCCACTACAGCCTCAAAGGTTGTTGAACAATCACATTTGTTGGAGAACCCTTACTGCCAATGTGCTCCACACAGGACCGAATGATGATAATGATGATGATGACGACGACAGGTCCTCGACCCACAAGTCTTCTGACCCCTCACCACTGGCTCTGCTGGCTCAAACTGTGTGAGCTGCCACCTGACAGACTACTAAAACTTGAAAAAACCAAAAGAGCCAAACTGGAGAGGGCCAGAATTCCACTTTTGTTTTGAGAAATGAGGATCTGGGAGGATTAAAGGGGGAGGCAAAGGACTGCAACTTAGGAAAAAAGCAATCTGCAACTCATATAGGGACCATTTCCATGGGGGGGGGAGGGAGTTGGAGAAACATCTTCCTTGGTGGGAGACTGTTGGGGACCAGATCCCACCAAATAAAACAACAAAACTCATCCTAATGGACATTCTTAAGAGCAAGGAAAAAGTTGTTCAGTTTCCGTTTAAAGCATGGTAGCAAATAACTATTTTTTCCATAATCCCTTGGAATGAAACAGCTAAAGTGTGTACCTTCTGCCTCATTCTGACCCTGGTGTCCAGCAGATGAGCCTTGTCCAGAGGTAGAGGGGGCATCTGGATCTTCTGTGTTTTCCTCAGCAGTTACATTTTCTCCGTCCTGAAAAGATTAGAAAGCTATGATTAAAAGATGATTTTTAATGATTTTTATTGATTTACTGGTGATAATACAGAATGCAGTGCCAAAAACACTTTTCTGTCTAAGCTGAATAACTGACTCTTAGGTAGCAAAGTAAGTCTGGGTTCACAATTGTACAGTTTAATCAAGGACAGTTACTCCACTGCTTTCTTTAAACCATGAATAATATTACAACCCTTCATTGTGGCCTTTCTTCCTTCACTTTTTTCTAAACTAAAAACCCCAAATACGAAACTTCCTTCTTAGAGGGGAGATGCTTCCTGCCCCTGATCTGTCTGGTTGCTGTTTTCTTTCTCCCAGTTTCTATGGCCCATTTCAGAAATTAGGGCAAATAATATGACATGGCCCAGAACCAACAACAACCTTCATTCCATGTCCCTGAAGACGAGGGGTTGTGCATTCCATAAAAGTGCATGCCAAATAAAACTTGTCAGTCTTTAAGATGCCACAAGGCTCTTGTTATTTCCAGTAACCAAAATTAAAAAAAGAAGAAGTAAAAATCAGTAAATATATGCTATTGGAAGGCTGGAAGAATATACTTCAAATATGTGTGGACAATAGAGAACCAAAGCTTGCTGCCAAACCTAGAGAGACCTCTTTCCATCATTGGCTTAATCCTGCAAATTAACCAACTTAATAATGTTGAAACAGTATTAACGTAAGATATCAACAGACATCTTATCTATAAACTTTATGGTGCATCAGCACTAGACATGTTATACAGGTGGGACTCAGAACCTCTGGCCTGCATGCCAAACCTGGCCTTTGAAGGCAGCCCACCTCAAGCAAGCCCTCCCATGCATGCCCTGCCCACTAAGAAAAGAGAAGTGGAGAAGCACATATGCTTTGTTTTATGGAGTAAAAGTGGGGGCAGAAGCCAGCTTAGGACTCAGCCATGGCCTTGAGAAGGAAACCTTGAAGTTCCAGCCATGTCCTCTTCAGTCTTCCCTCATCTTCCTCCATTGGTGGTAAGGAGAATAAAGAGCTGTAGCCGTGTATAGGTACATATACAGCCCCTAACCACTATCAGCCTGACTGGGACTAAGGCCACATTATTGAGCTGAATCTCAGAGCAGCACCTTCTCTAAGCAGCAACTCAGGCCACCAGCCCACCACACACTGTTCCAATTAGGACACTAAAATGAAAATATGAAAGCAGGACAGAACCAAGATTAGATTTTTATATGTGAAAGAATTGTGAGTTCAGTCCTGGAACTTTTTTTTAAAAGGCACATAGGTTAGACATACACGATGAGACATCAGCCTTGGCCAAGTGTAATTGAAACAATTACATTTGCCTTACATGCTGGAGATATTCCAGAAATGTGTCTTAGGATGTATGTGACTAGACTAGTAAAGAGTTTTCTTTCATCTCAAAGGTCTTTTGATCACAAAATACAGGTTTTGGCTCACACTAGTTTTTTTTAACAGATATTGGCCAGTATCCAACTGAGCGTCTACTGAATGTCAAGTCCTGACAGAGTAGTATCATAGGATCACAGTGCTTGTACAAGAATAACCTTCAGAAAGAAAACACACCCTCCACTTGCCATTAGCAACAGTTCCAAAAAGTGCATTGCCTCTTTATTATGTTGGCACCATTTTTCTATGCACAAATTACATTGGCACAACTTTTCTATACAAGAACTAGTTTGCTGTTATTCTTCTTGTTACTGTGATTCTCTTAACAGATCAACCTTACCACCTGTATTTTTATCTACTTAAAAAAAATCAAAACATAGAGTTGCATATACAGAGGAAGACTAAAGGTTCATCCATTTCTGTTGAGAACAGACAAATCACTGTTCATCACCCATTTGTTGCAATTTATACAGAAAACAAACTCCATGAACTGTGTTTTGTTTACAATTTTTTTATCCAGTTATTTCCACAGAAAAATCTCTCTGTCTGTGTACATGTGTGAGCGTACACATCAATTACTTTACTTATAGCTATACAGATAGAGGGACCATTATCTCCAATGTGATAATTCAAATTGAGTCACACAGATGGGGTGGTAAAGTGGATGGTGAGAAGTAGGTTATGAAATCACTCAGCATTCAGCTGAGTGCTATATTCCCCTTTTAACATATACTTCTATCAGGTGAAGTGGGCTGTGAAAGCACTTAGTAACTGGGAGTGAAAAAGCTGGGGAATAATTATCCTAGAGTAGAAGAGTATGACATTGCCTATATGGGATGAACTGCAGTATGTTTTTGAGATTCATGCATGCAAGAAGTCTGTGTGTTATAACTCAGTTTAACAGTTTCTATTCTTTATCACTGGTTCTTAACCTTGAGTTACTCAGGAATTTTGGACTGCAACTCCCAGAAGCCTTCACCACCAGCTGTGCTGACTGGGGTTTCTGGGAGTTGCAGTTCAAAAGGATCCGAGTAACAAAGGTTAAGAACCACTGCTCTAGATGAACAGCGGCTCCTAACCATTACAAAGGTTGGGAACCTAGGCTCTAGATGAACAGCGGCTCCTAACCATGATGTTCTTAGACTGCAACTCCCAGACATCCCAGCCAGCGCAGCTGATGGTAAAGGCTTCTGGGGGTTGCAGTCCATGAACTCACTGCTCTAAAAAATTCCTGCCTGTAGGATGTGTAGGTATACTTAGCCTCCAATTTTCACAGCTACAAAGTATGGGATTAAAAACAAAAATATGCTCATTTACCTGGGAATCAGTCCTGCGCATGAACTCACTGCTCTAAAAAATTCCTGCTTGTAGGATATGTAGGTATACTTAGCTCCAATTTTCACACCTACAAAGTATGGGATTAAAAACAGTCCTGCCAAACTAGTTTGACAATGAGCATCGCATGCAGGAACATTGTGTCAACACGGTAAAGCTATAATGCACTTTGCAAACCTGTTGCTGTTGCCCATAGGAGGGAGGGCTTTCCTCCCGGGCACCAATTTCGGGCAAGCACTAGGATCCTACAATATTGTACTTCTCTGCCAGTGAGTAGCCGGACCTAAGGTGCGCGATCTAGAGAGAATCCTTTGCACGCTAACTGTGGAGCAAAAGCTCTTCCTACAGAACTCAATGGAAACTGCTGTAGAGCCGATATGAGGAGGCTCGGGCCGGCACCAGCTCTGTATTGTTACGGTATAAAACAGGTCCTATTATTCTCCTTTTCTCCCGATTATTCACGTGGTAGTTCTTTCAGGACCTGAGTGCCTACATTCCCAAGAAACAGCAGCCGCTTGTGCCCTTTCCCCCTAAATCAACTCGCTCGGCTTCTTCCTACTTTCGGTGAAAATGCAAGCAGAAAAGCAGTGAGGTTGCCTATGGACAATTCCGTCCGAGAAGGGGAACAGCATGAATATAGACTGTATGGGGGAAATGCACCACCCAGAGACCCACGGAGGGTCTCCTTACCTTCCTCTCGCGGCTTTTGCGCTCTTCTCGACGCCGCTCGAACTCCTCGAAGGAAATTTTCCCTTCCAAATAGTCGATCAGCTCAGGACTGAACCCCGACATTTTGCACCTGAGCCAGCGAACCGATACATAAATATCTCTCTAATATTGGAGCAAGAGGCGCATTCCGGTTCAAGCGGGGGACTTTAATTCGTGACGGACCAAGGGTCCTACACTTACAAGTTTCCGACTGCACGGGAAAGGACAAAGCGCGGAACCACCATCGAACGTGTGCGCATGCGCCTCTGCCATGCTGTTGTCGATTTTAAATCGTTGGGAAGATGTGAAAACGTGTTCCTAGAGACTCGTCGTCGGTTTTGCCCTCCCGGGCATTTGTTCTAAATAGATTCGTTTCTTTTAACAGTGGTCTTTCTGGTGTGTGTGGTCCTACTCTTTCTGGCCAGGGATGAAAGGGCAGCATGAGAAATAGGAGACAGATTGTATCTCAGGCCTCCACCCCTGTTGAGTGAGGGATTTTCTATATGCACATGTATGGCCTCCCTGACCCCTCTCTCAAATTACCTCTCTTCTCCGCCCAAAATGAGTGTCCTTTGTCTTTAATCCAACCAAGATGTAACCAACGTGAAGGATATATCAGGGATCACCCCAGAGAAAAGGGCAAAAAGGATTTGCTTGAAGCAAATCTCATGGGACTTAACTTGCACTGAGTACAGTATTGTATATCCTGTCGGTTCAAAGAGCATGTGAGAAGTGCATGATTTTCCGTCACACCAGTAAATTTAAAGTTCTGAAGATGTATGAGTATGCCAAATCAATAACTGATGATCTGGATCCCAGAGGATCATTTTACCACTGCTCAGCTGTGGATGGCTTCGCTATTACATTCATTCTTATTAAAAAATAACTTTCTAACCATTGGGAAAGACTTCAAAAGTGTGCTTTGATACTTACTGTTAATCTTCCAGTGGAGTGGTCTTAGCTTATGTTGCAACAACTAATTTCCAGTATTTATATGAAAAGAGACACTTTAAAAAAAAAACTCATCATGGTAAATAATGGGTTAACTTTTACTGAGTGTTTTCATTAAAATAGTGTAATGGTGTAAAAGGAAGGAAAGATACAGTCATCTTACCACAAATTACTGATACCGATCTAGATAATGATGGTAAAAAGCTAGTTTTATCTGCTTCCAGAAGCTTCGTGTTTACAAATCTATGTAAGACTGATGAATGTGGTGACTTATATTTAATCCCAGTTGGTGGGTCGGAAGACACTGATGTAGCTTGAGAGAGAAAAAATGGTCAGGGGCATAAATATAAGTTATTAGGCCAGGTGAACTTCAAATTCATGCTATCCTTTTAAGATAACATGATTCAGTTAATATCAGAGAATCCTCCCTTTTGTTTGTTTTGTGGAGATTACCTCTGAAAGGCTCCATTGATTATGTCTTTTTAAAAATATCTTAACAAATTCAGGTTTATTCAAATAGTGCAAACTATGTTTGCATGAGGTTATGACTAGTGCCTTTTGTTTGACCCCTACACTGGTAACTAGGGTGGCCACATGTCTTCTTCATAGTCTTTTATTTGATGCTATCCTCTGTTTGGAGGACTGTCCAGTAAAAGCCTGATTGAAAGGTAAAGAGCTATCACGATCAGGGATGCTGAGGTTGACCATCCACAGGGAGCACCAAGGCAGCAGACTTGACAGATGCCAGTCACCTGGCCACAGTTTTCTACACTCATGTGCAATGCATTGTAATTCTGTCTGTCTTATAAAACAGTGGTCCCCAACCTTGGGCCTCCAGATGTTCTTGGACTTCAACTCCCAGAAATCCTGGCCAGCAGAGGTGGTGGTGAAAAGGCTTCTGGGAGTTGTAGGTCCAAGAACATCTGGAGGCCCAAGGTTGGGGACCACTGCTATAAAAGTCATTTCTGATTTTGGGGTCTGTATCTATAGATCAGTGAACACTGTTTTATGCAACAGCTTCTTCGTTTTTGATGATACATTCCCTCTTTTTTTTAGGATGAGGAAGGCAGGAGATAATATATTTCCGAACTAACTAACTAACTAACTTACAGGCCAGATAGGGATTGTGTGTGTTTAATTGGAAGAATGGGGCTTATTTGCAAGCAAACCTGAATAGGACTGAAGGCTTTGACACAAAAATATGTAAATTCATCCCAAAAGAATCTCTACAAATTGTTAGATTACACAGAAACTCTGATTGTTTCAATTAGCCATCTTGTTGTCATGCCTGAAGTCATAAACTTAAGTAAAAGTATATGTACTTTGTTCAGGCTTTGATGTTGAAATAGGTCACATATTTCAGTGATTATAATATTATAAGGAATTGGTCAATGAAATCAGCAGAATATTCTGTCTTGTTGATTGCTGCAGAAATGGCATGCAAATTCTACACGTTGTGCTAGTACATCTGTGATCATTTAAACATCTCAAAGCTGTTTTTAATGCAGGCACATTAATGAATACTATTTCACATAATTTCCAGTTGTACAATTTCATCATAAATTTCATTGACACTCAGCCTTTTAAAAATAAGAAACCAGAACTGAGAATATAAGAAATAATTAGGGGAAAGGTTATCTGTGTGTGTTTGTATGTTTGTTTTTAAATGCATTTAGGTAACAATGTTCTAAATCTTAGGTAAATTAAGACAATATTTATTTTACTCTCCCACAGAGAAAAGAATAAATATAATTTGAAGATCTCATTTATTTACACGTAAGCCAATACAAATAGAGAACAAAATGTGAGCATTTGATTTCTGTATGCAGTATCTGACCTCTTAAGAAAAATAGTACTATGTCAAGTAATCATTTTGAAACACTTCCCTATGGAGGTTTCCAAATAGTCTGGTGAACAGCCACCTGTAAAACAAAACAGGGAAGTAGATTAAAGCACCATATTGTAGCAGTGCTATTCTGTTCATCTGCTTTCAGGATTCAGTGGTGTCCTTCCCCTGGGATTGGTGGCGCTTCTCCTTCCTGCAGCTCCCTCCATGCACCTAAAAAATCTATTTTGGCAGGCTAGAAAACTCTCTGAAGCAGATTTTTAGTACCAGAGGAGGAGGAAAAGAAGTCCTGATTCCATTGGCTTTGGATACAGATGTTTGCTCTTGGCTCTTGGCCTGTGTCTGTCTGTCAAATTAGCTCATCAAATATTTTGAAGATTATCACACATTATTTTGCTTGATTACCCCACATATAACTGACTGGCAGATTGCAGCATGTGTACCTCCGGGACTTTTGCTGAAAACATTCCTACTAATTCAGGTTTCATACTTTGCCAACAATGGTAGTTTACTTCCATTCATCCTTTAGTACATCAGAGGGTCAGTGTAGATGACTATGGAACTATGTGTGACTATTTCTACTCTGTTTCCCTAAAAATAAGCCCTACCCCGAAAATAAACCTTAGTATGATTTTTCAGGATGCTCGTAATACAGTATAAGCCCTACCCCCAAAATAAGTCCCAGTTAAGTGAAACCCCACCCTCCACCATTGTGCAGCAACCAGAAGAAAATGACAACTGTATTTGAATAAATGTAAATTGTTGTACATGAAAAAATAAAACATCCCCAGAAAATAAGCCCTAATGCGTTTTTTTGGAGCAAAAATTAATGTAAGACCCTGTCTTATTTTTGGGGAAACATGATATGTTCCTGAGAAGAAATAACTAAGGAGGTAAGGGATCGTGCTCAATCTTATCTTAGACCTCATGTTTTCTAAGATAAGTAACAAAACAAAGAAAAAATAACAAAGGGACCAATTCTCATTTTTCAATGTATATTCTTAATCTTAAACAAGAGTTTGGCCAGACAGCCATTCAAATATGAGAGTGGGGGGAATCTTCTATGAAGAAAATTAGAGGGTATAAGGTCCTTCTGCTGTAGAACTAATTCTGGCATTATGGCAGATTTTGAGTGAAATCAACAACAGAATTCAGATTAGCTCTTAAACCTCTCATGCATTTCAGAATAAAATTAAATCAGACTATGGTAGGTATTTGTACATACCGTATCTTGTATGTTTCTGTATTCTGTCATGAGAAGGCATGAAACTTGTGGCGCAGTGGTTAAACCATTGTGCTGCAGCCAAAACTGTTTTCACGACCTGGAGTTCAATCCCAGGTAGCCGGCTCAAGGTTGACTCAGCCTTCTATCCTTCTGAGGTCAGTAAAATGAGTACCCAGCTTGCTGAGGGGGGGCAATGTGTAGCCTGCATAATTAACTTGTAAACCGCCCAGAGGGTGCTTTAAACGCTATGGGGTGGTATATAAGCAGCACACTTTGCTTTGCTTTAATATAAATATAGATATTTAATATATACCAGCTTAAATCAAGAACAAAGATATTACTCCTCAAACACTGTATCTAATTGCAATTCCATGGTGGGGGTGGAATAACACACTAGATTTCATTTCACTTATTTACACGAGTACAATAGAAACAGTGTAATCTTTGGAGGCAAATTACCATACGTTAAGGTGTTGCAGTAAACAGTATCTGTTGCATACTGAGTTGTGTGACTCACTGTGCAGCTGATGACTTTGGTGATTTCTTAACTTGAGGCAATTTGTCTCCAAAATTTGTACACCATTAGCGTAACTATGAGAGAGCATTTTGGCCACTGTGTCCTGTAGTCCTTCAAACTATCCCTTTTCCCGAACTTAAAAGAACCATGTTGTGGAGGTAGGTGAGGCCAATTGGAGTAATAAAGCACATAGATGTTTAGATCATGGATATTGTTGAGAGGATGTAGAACAGCCCCAGCTTTACGGGCAAACATGAGAACTGCTAAAAACGCTCATTGACCATGGTTCCCCTTGTCACAGGACATTGTGGTTCGTATGTCACTGCTGTGATCTCCGGAGTTCCACTTCTTGCGGACACTGAATTTGGTACATTTGCAAAAGAGAACAGAGCAGTGTCACACTCCCATTGCTAAAAACGCTCATTGACCATGGTTCCCTGTCACAGGACATTGTGGTTAGTATGTCACTGCTGTGATCTGAGTTCCACTTCTTGCGGACACTGCATTTGGTACATTTGCAAAAGAGAACAGAGTAATGTCACATTCCCAATTGCATGATTAGGAGCACAAAGAGTGAATTTACTGGAGAATTTAAATTGATTTCATTTAGTGTGATCAGTGTGCCATTCAGATTAATTTAAACTGTTAATTTCAGATCAAATA